TGGCCACTCACACACACACACACACACACACACAATAAATAAATAAATAAACAAATAAAAAAAAATTAAAGATATAAAGCAAAAAGTTAGAACCCAGAAACTGTGGTTCTTTAGCTGGCATGAGTAGTGTTATAGTGTGGTCCCTGCTATGTGGAGAAACTTCGTGATGTGTGTTCCAGGGCTTTCTCACAGATATAGCTGCCTCATTTCCACCTACTCTAAATGCCCTGCTCCTGAGAAATCACAATTCCCCAGTGCAGATAAGGCCCGCCTCCCTTAGATCTAACTAAGTGATATTAAGGACATCTCTTGCATGGGTCTTGACTTCATATGTTTCAATTTTTTTTTGCACATTCTTCTGCTGTAACAGCCATATACACATTTTTTACATAATTATCTTTCTTACATAATTACCTTCTAATAAATATATATGGAATTAAAGTAACATATTAAATCATTTTTGTGCTTATAGATAGAAATAAATACCGAGAATAAATGTTATTGGGACAAAACTGTTAGGGAAGTATCATTTAACAAAATGTGGCATTAAGTTTCTGTTGAAAAATAATAATTTGAAACATATTTGATGAGAAGCACTGCATAAATAAAATTACTGAAACAGGCCGGCCAGATAGCTCAGCAGATTGAAGTACCTGCTAAGTGGACACAGGGGCTAGGGTTCAATCCCTGGGCCTGCTGTGCTGGCCCCACCCCTGGGTGTGTTGAGACAGTGATTGAGACTGGATGTGATGGTATGTGCCTGTAATCCCAGCACTTGGGAGGCTTTAAACAGGAGGATCACTACAAGTTCAATCTAACTAGTGAGACCCCATAGACCCTGTACTAGATACATTAAAAAGGTAATAAATAAATACATTAATAAATGAAATTATTGAGGAACAACTAGGCATTTAGCTATTGCTAATGAAGTTATGATTAAGTGGAGACACAACAAAAGATAATAATGACATGTCTTTTTTCTAGGAGTTTACAATGAAGACCCTTCTCAGCTCAAAATCTATGATACAAGCTGGGCATGGTGGCACACAGCTGTAATTCCAGCTCTTGGAAAGCTGAGAGGAGGAGGATCACCAAGGGTTTGGGCCAGCTTGGACTACATTGTGAGATCAAGGACAGTAAGACCCTGTCTCAAAAACCCTGAATGAATGAATGAATGAATGAATGAATCAATCAATCAATCAATCAATCAATCAGTCAATCAAACAATGATCTATGATATGGAAACCAAAACAAACAAACAAGGAGATATGAACTGCTTTAGAGTTGGGATCATTCTGCATTACCTGACCATATGCAGGATTTGGTGTGGACTTATATGTGCAACAACTGGATTCTCTTCGTACTGATAGCCACATTGTCTTTAGAAAGATTAGAGAGCTTTGCTCCATTTGAGAAGTGAAAAGGAAAATTCACCCATCATCTTGTGAGTGAAAAGTTCCCAGTGACCACAGTGTGCTAAGAACAGGCCACTTCTGTTGGCCAATAGAGAATGCATGCTGAATGCTACATCCTAGTAATCTCTCCCAGCAATTACTTGGTTTTCTCTAAAGCCAGAGGTTAACTAGTGTCACAAGTATGGTCTGCAGCCAAAAACTAATTCCTTGGCATGAGGCCAACTGAATGATGGAACTCTAACCTGTGCTTACAGAGTGTTCATGCTCTGAGGCAATAAAACCACGCCTTGAACCTGCTCTCAGCACTGATGGGCTATATGCAGGGCTCCACACTTTTTTGGGTCTACTTCCTTGGTGATATTAAAGTTACGCTGAAGCAAAGTAAGTCACTTATTGATTCAAACCTGCTTGGCTGTGTGGCTAATCTCGACAGCCAGATCCCCTCCAGAATTCCCAATGCCAATTATAACAACCCTCTTTCCAATGAATCCATTTGGGTTCTTATAGTCTCGACTATGGAAGTACTGTCCTTTGAATTTTTCAATTCCTGCAAGAGAAGAGAAAACAATTATTGGGTGATGGCTTGTATGATGGATTTCACTGTACTTGCTTTCTGCTTTTGTTTTTTGCAGTTTAATATTTAAGAATTCTCTACACGTTGTCTCTTTATTCATCTATTCTCTTCCTGTTGTGAACATTTTGCTAATTGTTTTCTCTCATAGTCTCAGAATAGGACTTCATGATTCACTTATCATAAATAGTTTTGTTTTTTTAAAAAATGTATTTAGTACAGGGTCTACAGGATCTCACTACACAGATCAGACTTGTGATTCTCCCATTTTCAGCCTCCCACGTGCTGGGAATAAAGCTTCATGCCACCATGCTCAGTCTCAATCGCTGTTTCAGTGTGCCTCAGGGGTGGGGCCAACACAGCATGCCAGGGATCCAACCCGGGTCACTGCACTCGGCCTGAGCAGGCACTTTAGCCTGCTGAGCTGTCTCGCCAGCCCCGTAAGTAATTTCTGGATTTGCTGACTCACAAATCCACACTGCTTCAGAAAATTTTCATTCTATTTTTCACATTCCTTTAAATACCTATTACTGTTTCAGTTGGAATACATATACATGTATTTTCATACTCTCAAATTTATATGGTGTATTTTTTAAATGAAAATTAAAGCTAAAGAATAAAATTAAATTCTTCAGCTTTTCTAACTTTTTTTTTTTAATTTTATTTATTTATGTATGTGTGTGTCTGTGTGTGTGGCCAGCTCAGCCCACCAGGGGGCAGGGCTGGCTGGCATGTGGTGCTGGGGGATTGAACCGTGGTCCCTCTGATTTGCTAAGCTTGTTCTAAGTAGGTGCTTTAGACCACTGAGCCATCTCACCAGCCCCTTTCAGCTTTTCATTTCATCCTTAGAAACTCAGCATGTCTAGTTTTTACATTGTTGAAAAATTCCTCACCTGAACTAATACTCAGGAAGAACTCCACATTTTTTTTCTTTCGATGCTTAGGAAAACTAGAGTAATTATGCAGCTACATACAATCATATGTCATTTAAAGGGGCTACATATATTCTAAGAAAGGTGTCATGAACTGATTTTAGTGATGCGCAAATATTATAGATGTACTTAACACAAATCTCAATGGTATAGGTCAAATCAAGAGATACAGTAAACAAAGTAGAAAGAGAATATTCTAAAGTAGTGATAAGTATAGTAAGAGTAGCAATATAACTGCTTATTATCAGTATTACACATTGTATATAACTGTATGCATTATAATTTTATGCACTGACAGTGTAGTATTATGCACATCAGCATCATCAAAACCACTTGAATACTGTGTTTTGTGCTCTGGAGCTACAACAGCCGTGACACCACTGGGCAATGGGAATTTTCTAGCAATATTATGTGTCACATCCGTAGGTAAAGCTCTAATTTTCCTTTAATTTCCAAAATGACATGGTCTCTACCTAGAAGTGGCAATAATACAAGTTACTCACATCTTTAGGGGAAGCATAATTAGGGTAAGCCTTCATCCCAACGCAAGAATCACTCAGACTACAACCCTCTTATTCCTCAGGTTCTAGGTCTCAGTATGGTTCAAGGGTCTTTTACATCAGTGGGTTTCTCACCCGGGAAGCTTTCCAGGGGTAGGTGAGCGTTGGTGTGATGGCCAGTGCAAACCATGACGGCATCAAAAACATCCCTCTTCGTTTCCCCTAAATGCTCAGTGATCACTTCCCATTGGCCTGAGGTGGAGAAGTCAGGCTGCTTCTTCACACTGCACACGGTGGTCTGAAAGAAAAAATGACAGTCACAGATGACTGCAACTACAGTTCATCCAGTAGACATCTTCTTGACATCACATCACAGTGCTCCCGCAGGGATATTTGGGTTTTAGACTCCACAAAGAGCTGTTTTAATTGGGGGCTGTGGTCTGAATGAGAAAATGTCTATGAGACAAACTAAGCAAAATAGAGTTGGCAAACTAATGTATTCTCCTCTGCTCCTAGAAAAGTGCAAATTGGTAGGTCTCTGGGATGATGCATGAAGGCACTGCGACACCTGACTGAGGCCCGGGCTTCTTCTGTGCTTTGGTGACACTCTAGGAACTACATGCCTCTTCCTCCCCTGACCTCAGACAGACAAGCCCCTTGATTTCTCCTTACTCCAAGCCCAGTTTTCACTGGTTAACCCTAAACATATCACTGAGAAATAGGGCTCCTATTCCTGCAAGAGTAGGAAAACTTCTTAGGAGCTTTATTTTATGTAAAAAAATCTCTCTTTGATTTCCAGAAATGCCAATTTCATCAGTAATTGTAAAGAAAGAAGCTATGAGATGGGATATAAATTCTAGTCAGTGATGTAAATTTTAGCTCTATAAAAACAAGCAATAGGGGCTGGTGAGATGGCTCAGTGGTCTAAAGCACCTACTTAGAATGAGCTTAGCAAAGCAAAGGGACCGCGGTTCAATCCCCCAGCACCACATGCCAGCCAGGGCCGCCCCCAGTGGGCTGAGTTGGACACACACACACACACACACACACACACACACACAATAAATAAATAAAAATTTAAAAAAAAAATAAAAACAAGCAATAAACAAGTTACTCTGCTCAGCTTAGAGATACCCAGAATATACTGTCATGTGGTCTAATAGAGACACCACCTCTATACCTAGCCATCCCATGCTATTTATAGTTCCTCTTACATATGTGATTTTACACAGGCTGGAGCTTCTCCTTGGATCACTTTTTATTCTTTCTTCACTTGGCAGATGCCTATGTAACCTTCAGGGCTCAGCTTGGGCACTGTCTCCTCTGCAAACTTCACTGGAGCCTGATGCTCCTGTCCTCAGGCGTTAACCACTCCTCTTCTGAGCTGCAATGTGTAGACCTCTCAGTGCTTACCACTCTGTAACCCTGTTTTCATTAACTACATATATTAACTAGATGGATTGTAAAGTTATTGATTGGGGGAAGGGTGTCTTTCCTGCTTACTACAGTAACAAACCATTTCAAGACAAGTAAAGAGAAGTGCCACTCAACTTTAACCGATTTGGAAGCTGTCATGGGCATAAGGCAGAAGGCTTGAGCTTTTTTCCCACTGTCATCAATCTCTGTTCTTTTATGGCCATCATTATAAATTATAGGAAAAGACTTTAGAGCATGACAATGAACCCATGGCACGTACATTACTGTGTTTTTATTTTTTAAGACAAAAGACTCTCTTGCAGAGTGTTTTTCTAACCTAAAACCTCAGTATTCAGGTTTAATTGTAGTGCTGGGACTTTGTTATAAATAAGGGGGTTCTGGGTTGTGGTTTGGCATTTGGTTGCTAAAAGGTTCACTGCTACTGCAAACATGAAGAAAGTAGGAGTGATCAAATACAATCAGTTTGTTTTTCAAACAAGGAAATTAAGACTCCTTGAGGTTGGGAAACTTACCAGTCAAAGATCACAGGATTTTGTTTCCTAATTCTGTATTCTTTCCTTTAGAGAAATGAGTTGTTTTGCTTCCTCAATAGCCTAACAATGACTCCAGTGGGTTGGAGTGGTGCTTACATGAAATAATTTATTGGGAAGTGTTTCAGACAGTACAGCTAAGGGATAGTGGAACTAAAAGGTTTTAAATTCCTATACATATCAGCTCCTGTCATCTGTTTTATTACGATCAAATAGTGCCAAATAAAGGAAATAAAAACATAGTGACTTCCTTCATCTGCAGCCAAAATATAAAAAGAGAAATCTTTCATGGATATTTTCCAGATACAGAGAGAATAGAAAGTAGACTTGTTGTGTGGAGTGGATGTGTGTGTGTGTGTGTGTGTGTGTGTGTGTGTGTGCACGTGCATATCAAGCCACTCTTTACATTTGTGCGCTGGTAAATGAAGCCATATTATTCATCTACCTAATGAATAACCTCAAGGACAAGCTTCTTAGAAAATTCCCTACCTGGAATTGGATATACTTTAGAAGGCCGAATTCTTTGGCATACATCCTGAAATATTCTAGGACATGAGAGTTGTGCATGAAGTTAGGGTAATGCTCTGGGATCGGGTAGTCGCTGAAGCACATCATCTCCTTAGAAGTATTGATGATCACTGATTTGTAGATACTGGCTCTTCCTTCCTCAGGATTTTCCTGTAACATATAAAAAAGCACTAATGGCAGCCTGAGAATTATCTTTATAACTTACAAGTAGGCATAAACACTTGAAAAGATATTCTGAAAGAAATGCTAATTTAAATAAAAAGTGTGTGTGCGCGCGCATACACACGCACACAATCTTTGCACCTTCCAGTGTTTGTACCCCCATAGTCCCTTGCTCTTGAATCTGAGCTATCTGTATTACAGTTGAAATGGCACTGAGTGGCTTGCAAATTTAATCCATAAGCAGCCTTGCAGCTTCAGCCTCACTATGCTAGAAGCCTCATCCTAGTGGAACCTGTTAGCCACGCAAGAAGTCCAGCTACACTGAGACATTTGATGACACAGGTACCTAATAAACACTTGATGACATTGTCTGGAGTAGAGGAATATTCAGCCAGCACTCAAAATTCTAGTTATCCTGGCTAAAATTCTAAACATGTGAACAAAAAGGCCCGATCAAAGGTGTAGTCTCAGCCATCATGTGATTTCAATTACACGAGATTCCAAGTGAGCCCTGCTGCGCTGACTGGGTCTCAAGACCCCCATGGACACTGTGACATCGCTCTCTAGCAAACACTGTATCAACTTAAGCTCTCTCTAGTATAAGTTAAATTTACCCAGTTGTCTAAAACAGCAATGATCAGCTAAATGGGTAAAAGTCAAGTAAATGGGAACATATACTGGGGAGACTATACATTAGTACCGTGTTTCTGAGCAAAGCTGTAATATATATACATATACGTATATACATCCTTGAAACTTCTGAAGACTTTAAGAGAATTATTTGGTAAACAATGATTTTTGTTAAAGAATGTTAATGCCAGCATTGTTCATTATATAATCAGGAAATAAGCTAAACACTGAACAGATTACACTGAAACGTGAGAACCATCCCTCTGGATCCTTGCCACCCAAGGTCTGGTTTGTGGGCCAGCAGAAAAGACATCTCTAGGGGTCACAGTTAGAAACGCGGAATCTCCGGCCCCAGCCTGACTTCCTGAATCAGAAGTTGTATGTTAGTAAAATCCTGAAGTGATTCAGATACGCATGAAAAGTGAGAAGCATTGCGTTATACGATATTAATCCCAAATTCAGTGTTCTCCTCCCACAATGAACTTGTTCACTTCCTCAAAAACATGGGGTTGATGTGGTGATCCCAACAAATAATGCAATATGACCCAAATCTACTATTCTGTTACTGAGATTCCACAAATGACAGGTTTTCAAATCCATTATAAGTTTTAACTGTTGAGTATGGAAATCTCTGACTAATTAGGAATCCATTCTTCTTTTTATTATTACAAAAATAGACTGGTTTTGCAACACTGCAGATTGCAAAACACTAAATGGCTACAAAAGAATATTTGTCCACACTCAGACTTGTTTTTCTCTCCTCTGTACTAAAGAATTTAGTCTGTTCTGGTCATTCATATTCTATGCCCTATTACATCAGTTCTCATTTTTTTTTTTTTTTACTTTCAATAAGATTTTATGAAAAAAAAAAGGGGGGGCTGGGGAGATGGCTCAGTAGGATAAGCGCTTGACTGGCAAACTCAAGGATCTGAGTTCAATCCCCGGTTCCGCCAAAAAAAAAAAAAAAAGATTTTATGAGCCTCTTCTGAAGAGTCCTCTAAGTTATTCCACCTTCTTCAACCAAATTGTTCTAAGTTGTGACTGTGATTGTATCGTTGCCCTAATTAAAATATTAGGTGTTGCCCCATTTCCTACAGAGTTCCCATTTCTTAGCTTAAGACTCAAAAACCTCTATAATGTCTCATATAATATCTTGTTCCAGGGGCTGGGCAGGTGGCTCAGTGGAATAAGCGCTTCCCTGGCAAGTGCAAGGGCCTGAGTTTAATCCCCAGTTCTGCCAAAAAAAAAAAAAAAAAAAAAAAAAAATATTGTTCCATATTCTACGTCTTCCCTATTAAACTGTAAGCTCTTTGAATTGGCTTTGCCTAAAGTGTTTAAATTAAAGATAGCATTCTGTAAATGTTTAATAGATGTATTTCTAATTATATTGAGAAATCTACAGAAAAAGTACTTTTCACATACTACCTAACAAATTAATAAAATAAACTCAAAATTTATTTCAGATGATTTGAATAAGATATATTTAGCACATTCCCCAAATCTTCTTGGGAAAACTGCAATAGTTCTCAGTTGTGGCTGCATATTGACTATAGGTTATTGTCAGTTAGAGTTATACAGTCCTCAGAATGGAGGCAAGAGACAGAAGGGCTGTATTTATGTTCAAGTAAAGAATGCCATAAACCCACTTTTAAGTAGTTAGCCAGTACCGTGTTCGTTTTATGAAACATAAAATGCAACGATAGCACCTCAGCATCATTCACTATGTTAGAAAGTAAGAGAAAAAAGAGACTGGGCAAGGTGGTGCGTGCCTGTCATTCCAGCACTTGGGAGACTGAAAACAGGAGGACTTCTATGAGTCCAATCTGTGTAGTGAGACCCTGTTGACCCTGTACTAAATACATAAAAAAATTAAAAAATAAAAATATAAAAAAAGAAAGTAAGAGAAAAAGCAAGCAAACACATGTCCCATTTGGCAATTAAGGAAGGCAGACAGTTATACTGTGACATTGACTATGCATAACTATCTTTTAAATAGACAACTTTTAAAATTGTTGCAAGTTGCAGGGCTAGATGTGCATATTGAAACAATTTCACTTAAAAAAAAAAATAACCAATTTATTTTTAAATCTGAGCCTGGACAAGGATAAGAAAACCCTGGTGCGGTGCCCTCTGCCCTCTTGAGACAAAGGACTTTAGACTATTCAATAGAAAGAAAAGTTCAAATCAAACAACAAGATTATCGCATTTCATACCTAAAGTGAATTGAGATTTATTTTTAATGGAAAAATCAAGGTTGAAGGTTGGTAATGCGAGATCCCTGAATGGAGTTGTAAGCAGGTAATTCCAGCTTATTTACCCAGTAATACACACCTGGAACAACGACTCTAAATTTTCCCCAAGCCCGGTACCTTTCTAATTTATTTTGTTAGTCCATTAATCTCTCTGCGCCTTTACATAAACAATAAAAAGGAGAAAACACGTGATATCTGTGTTAAATTTTGTTATCAGCAAAAGAAAAGAGAAAGTTGCATAAAACCCAAGCAGGTTTAGCTGCTTTCAAATTCAAGTTCATCCTAGTTTCCGCCGCGAGATAAAAGGTCCCCTGCCCCTGGTTGGAGGAAGGCTCCCAGCATTAAGGGACCAAGAGATTTACCTGGAACCTCCAGAGGCCCCCGATGTCAACACTCCTTTCAAAGCAGACGGGCTCCAAGCCTTCTTCCAGGCAGCATTTGATGGACGAGAGCCCGCTGGCGCCTGCCCCAATCACAGCGACCCTTTTCTTGGTCATGGTCTCCAGAGACTTTCGCCTAGCTGGTTTCGGATCGCTGGTCCTAAAGAATGACAGAAGGCAGCACACCCGTCACACCTTTCCACAATATTTTAGCCGCAGCAAGCAAACTCTGGAAGCACTGGGACAAGAGGCATTTGGGAATCTGGGGAGACCACTTTCCAATCCGAGCGTCCTCTCCTGCAAAGGAATTAATACCTGTCCTCACCGCCTTCGGGGCTCCGCAGGAACTCCGCAGGGGTCCTGCAGCTGCGGTCTAACTTTAAGCTGCTGTCACCATTACACAAACTCGCAAACAACAGCAAGAGCCAATGCGAAGGGCTTGGCCCGCCCCACCTCCTGACTGCCAACACCCGCCCACTCCTCCGCACCCAAGTTCTCTCTTTAAACCGAAAGGAAACGTCTGATCGGCACAGAAAATAATATTAATCAACATCATTATCAGTATCAGCGTCTTAATTTTTCATTCCCCCTTCTCCGCACTTGTACCTACACTCTCTGGAATGAGGGTCATACCTCCCCGCCACTCCTGTCCTCCCATCCCAACTCCTTATTCACTTTTAACTTCCTGCTTTGCCTTAAAGTGATAAACTCCTGCGGGTATAGCGGAACTGTCAAGCCCTAGTAAGCCTTGTTGCAGCTGCCTAAATGGACTAAACCAACCTTTTCAGGGATCTGTTCAAACAGGTGGCACTGCGGTGCCCTCTTTACCCTCCTGCCCACTTCACCGCTGGACTTTGGCAGCGTACTACTAGAGGGTTTTGCATTAAAATCCCCTTGCGTTGAGCTGAGCGCTAGGAAGGAATGGATTATGCCTCCTACTTAGAGGGGTTTACAGTTTAGCGCAGACCAGTCTGTACACAGTAATTTCGGTAAAATAAAACTACGTTTAAAAAGCGATTGCTGGGGCCGGGGAGATGGCTCAGTAGAATAAGCGTTTCCCTGGCAAGCGCAAGGGCCTGAATTCAATCCCCTGTTCCACCAAAAAAAGAAAAAAAAAAAAAAAAAAAAAAAAAAAGCGATTTCTCTCAGTCATATGAATGAGTTGGTTAAAAACAAAATAACCATTTCCAAAATTTTACTTAAAATTTGCAAATATACAATCGTGTACAACTGGCAGTGAAACAGATACAGGATTTTGCGCCCTGGGCCCCTCCTGGCCACATCTGAAGGGTGAAAGGGATTATAGGGGTCTTGGGGCGTGGCTGAAGCGGTGGGTTCCTGTTCAGCTTCTACCACTCTGAGTCGGGTTTAATCAAAGTGGTTCAAGCCCAGCCAGTGCCAGCCCTGGATTTGGACTTCTTGGGCACATCCTAAGAGTATTCTTCCAATGGTTATCATTTCTTGAGGGCTTTCCTTGTATGTTTCAAAAAGTTGAATGGGAACCACCCCGTTGTGTTCTCTCAGCAACCCCAGGAGGCACTGATAGTGTGAATGCTTCCATCTTGGAGCAAATGGCAGCACAAAGAAGCTAAGTAACCCACTGAAGAGTTCACAGCAAATCCAGGCAAAGACAGGCATGCAAGCAAGGTAGTCTGCCGCCAGGCCAGGCTCTCACACACTGCTCTTTGTGTAATGTTGTTCTTACTTAATATTTAGGTTCAAGTCCTTCTGCCATTTCTCATCTATTACACTGTTATTTTTGCCTCACTCTTGCTGTTGTACGTCTGTATTTTTATTTTATTTTATTTTATTTATTTATGTATTTATTTATTTATTTATTTAGTGTGTGTGTGGTCAGCTCAGCCCACCAGGGGGCAGGGCTGGCTGGCATGTGGTGCTGGGGGATTGAACCGCGGTCCTTGTGCTTTGCTTAGCTTAGCTTGTTCTAAGTAGGTGCTTTAGACCACTGAGCCATCTCACCAGCCCATGTATTTTTATTAACTCTTAGTTCAATTATAGCTTGCTTTATTTCAAATACTTAAAATGTATTTAAACATAGGTCTTTGGGTTGGGGAGTCATTTTACTTCACCAGGAATTTGTCAGCTCCATATGTGGTCTAAATCCGGTATGTCCATTCTGTGGTCCCTCTTCTCTCCACCGCCTTACAAAAGCTGTTGTAATAAAAATACTTTTATAAGGATATTTTGTCAGAATGACAGAGGTGAGGTTGCTGCTACCAGCTTTGCAATTGGGGGCAAAGGTAGATGCCTTACAGCTACCTTGGCCACTAAGGTCACAAGCTCCACCATGTATGAAGCAGTGCTGTCGGCACCACCAACTGAGGCCTGAGAGCTGGGTGTGGGGAGGGTTGGGAACAGGAAGGGGGAGGGGGAAGGGAGAAAGAGGAGGGGAAGGAAGGGACGGGAGGAGGCCCACTGGCCAGCAGAATGGACAGCAGGGGGGCACAGGGCAAGCAGGCAGGTGGCGCAGGGGAAGAGACTCTGAAAGGCAGTACAGTGCCAAGTGCAGCCCGGAGCTGGGTGCTCCTGCATCCGCGGGCACCCTTGGTAGAGCTTTATTATGAAAACTCATCTAGAAAAAGATTTAGAAGAATGCCGAACATTACTGTAGCAACAAAAAATATGTCCAAATTGGGCACACAAATACTTTAGGGAGTTAAACCTGAGGAAAAAACTTTTGAAGAAACAAGAAAAGAACATGAAGAAAGGGAACACCAAATTAGAGA